GGAGGGAGGAATCACAGAGACAGGCATCACAGGTCGGAGAGCGGGTAGAAGAACATGTACAAATAGTAGCCGTCCCCGGCCGGGATAGAGGCCGCTGGGCGCTTGGCGACGGGTGCTGGCGCCCAGGTATGGTCAGGAGGCCCCTCAGCTCAACGGCCTGGGCGGGGTCATGAGCTGAACTCCGCCTCCCAAGGCCGAAATCTTGGGAGGGTGGGAGTGGGGTGTGGGTGCCAGTCGGAGCCGCGGTGATAGGCAAGAGGTAGCGGTAGTAGTAGTAGTAGTAGTAGTAGTAGTAGTAGTAGTAGTAGTAGTAGTAGTAGTAGTAGTAGTAGTAGTAGTAGTAGTAGTAGTAGTAGTAGTATAGAAGTAGTAGTAGTAGTAGTAGTAGTAGTAGTAGTAGTAGTAGTAGTAGTAGTAGTAGTAGTAGTAGTAGTAGTAGTAGTAGTAGTAGTAGTTAGTAGTAGGTAGTAGAGTAGTAGTAGTAGTAGTAGTAGTAGTAGTAGTAGTAGTAGTAGTAGTAGTAGTAGTAGTAGTAGTAGTAGTAGTAGTAGTAGTAGTAGTAGTAGTAGTAGTAGTAGTAGTAGTAGTAGTGGTAGTGGTGGTGGGATTTGATGGGAGGTCCTAGTGGTAGTAGTGGTCGCGGGAAGTGGGCTTTCACGTGGTCGTGTAGTGGCGGTCGGCAGACCGCCCCGTCGCCAGCTGGGTGAACGTCACCACGCCGACGCTGGGGTCTGCTGGCGGGTTCTGCTGGTGGTGGTGTCGTTCGTCGTGCTGCTTACGTCCACTGCGTTGGCCCGAGCGTGCTGCAAGCTGCAAGGTTCCATTTGATTGGCCCTCCTCCTGTTGTTGGCCAGGCCAGCCAGTTGTGGAGGATCGTAATCGAAGTCCACGTCGTTCACCGCTCATCGTCGTGCTTGCTGCTGGAGTCCATCGTGCCAACCAACATCGTGCTGCTGCTGATCCAAGCTTGGGGGGGGCCTCTGCAGCGGGATAGCGGATGGGCTGGCCTGCTCAAGTAACAGATAGACCACTAGACACTACTGCCGAAATCGCGGATAGGCCAGTGCAACCAAGGTATCAGAGTATGAGTGCTCGTCTCACTGTGCGCTCCACTCGTGGACGTCGAGGTCGCGTCGCTCTTCACAAGTCCTGCCGCTGACACCCGATAGTCATTGTGCCGCGCAACGTCGCGAGATTCGGCTCTGGCGGGAATATCGACCACGCCGCCGGGACGGAAGTTAACAAATTGTCCCCCCCCCCACCCGGGCGCACCTCGTAGTGTAGTCGTTGGCGTTGGTGCCGGCGTAGGCGTGGGCGTCCGTGCTGTCGTCAGTGCTGGCGTCGGCGTGGTAGCCGCGAGTTGGTCGGTGCTGGAGTCGGCTTGTCGATGCGGGAGTCGTCGAATTGGTCGGCGAGGAAGTGGGAGAGGTGCAGGACGGCGCGGGAATCGGCGAGCTGGTCAATATCATGCGGCTGGTATCCGATGTCCTGCGAGAAGTGATGCGGATGTGCCAGTCGTGATGCGGCTGTTCCTGCTTCACAGTCGCGGTGCGGTTGCGTGGCTCCGGGCTGGGAGTCGCTGAGCCGATCGGCGCAAGAGTGGGCGAGCTGGACGGCGCGGGAGTCGGTGAGCTGGTCGATGCGGGAGCCGCCACGCTGGTAGGTGTGGGAGTCGGTGAGCTGATCGGTGCGGGAGTCGGCGAGCCACTCGGCGCTGGAGTCGGCGAGCTGGTCGTTGCAGGAGTCGTCGAGCTGGTCGGCCTGGGAGTCGGCGAGCTGGTCGGCGCGGGAGTCGGTAAGCTGGTCGGTGCGGGTGCCGCCAAGCTGGCCAGTGCAGGAGTCGGTGAGCTGGTGGGTGCCAGAGTCCTAGACACAGGGTCGGAGAAAATAAATCGCACCACAATGCAAGACGCAACGAACATGTTACAGATTTAGGTTATGCGATGGTGTGATGGTCGGCGCTGGAGTCGGCGAGCTAGTCGGCTCGGGAGTCGGTGAGCTGGTCGGCGCGAGAGTCGGCGAGCTGGTCGGCGCTGGAGTCGGCGAGCTCGACGAGCTGGGAGTCGGCGAGCTGGTCGGTGCGGGAGTCGGTGAAGGTTGGGTCCTCGCCAAGCTGATTTGTCAAGCAAGGTGTGAGCTCGCAGCGTGGCTCTCTAACGGTGCCTAGGACGAACTCCTTAAGCAAGCTGGAGTGTCCTCTCACGTCGCAGACGTGCCATGGGATGCGCAAGCCAGGGGCGCGATCCTGATCCCATCTAGCCTCACAGGCGACGATTCCCCGTTCAATGAGGCATCGAGCGTGCCCGCGCCTTCAAACATACCCTGCGGGGTTGTTGATGTTCTGCTGCACTGTCGATGTACTGCTGGAGGCCACTTTGTGCTGTCGACGGTTTAGATTTGCGCGTCTTTGATTTGGGCTGGAAGGCCGCATGAGATCGGGCGGAGTCTCTGGACATCCACTGAAGGCCGCCCCCTGAGAGCCGGTGAAGGCGCCATCCCTGCGACGGGGAGGGAGGGAAACGGGGGAGGGAGAGGCCGAAGGCGAGGAGGAAAGGAGGAGCGGGGGGGGACGGACGGAGGGGATTCTGCCCCCTCGAGGGCTGAGATTTGTTCCATGTAACACACAGGGTCCTCACGCTGCTCTGTCACTATTCAGGCAGCAAGCGCGCTTGCAAAAGATTGGCCCCGCGGCACTGAGAGGAAGGCAGGCCATGAGATCCAGCGAGCTTCCAGCAAGCCATCCCGTTCCAGCGCAAGAGAAAGGCATCCAGCCGAGCACGCCGTGCCCGCCCGTGCAGAGGCAGCGCGGGTTTGGTCACCGTTACCTCTTGGCGGGATCGCACATGCAAAAGTGTTCCGGCATGAAATGCAGCTGCAGCAACCCGCCAGCGTTTCGCGATGGGCGCGGAGCAATGCCCTCACGTCCTGCGGAGTGAACCCTTGGCCACCTCGATGTAGCAACTACGTCTTCAGCCTGACCTTCCTCCCGCTCGCGTCCGCCTCGAAGGCTTTCATTGTCGTGTAAAACTCGCCAGTCTGTGCGTGGCCCTTCGATCTGATCAGGGCCAAAATCGCAGCATTCGGCTTCAATTGTTTCCGAATCTCGCTTACATGAACAAACTTGCCACCTCGAGATTCTACGAAGTTGACAACTTGTTTCCGATACTCTTTCAAAGTCTCACATGGCACGGATCCTGGACCAGTACCAAGCGATGCCTTGGTCTTATGTTTCTTCTGCGGGCCAAGTGGTTGCACATCGTCTTCGATTCGGCGACGCTTGGGCGGAGCTGTCTCAGATACAGGCTTAATAATTTTGTGGCGAACGAAGCAATTGTATCCGTTTCCAGACTTCTGCCACTTCAGTTCCACTGTATCGTCCATCTTCAGGAAAGCGGTCCACTTATACCCCCAAGATTGAAGCAACGACCGAAAATCCTTCTGAAGACGGGTGACCAAGTTCAACAAGCTGTCTGACTTGACCCACGTGGTGTCCCCTGGTCCCGACGAACTGTCAAACTCATCAGCGTTACCTGACCCACTGGTGTCTGCCCATGTTGCGTGCCGTCCCTCAAGTTCCAGGAGGGCGCGGCGAATAATATTGCGAGCAGCACCTGTGCTGCTGCCGTCACTCTGCGGCTCGTTCTGCCCATCAGCTTCTTTCGGAGGGCGAAGAACAACGAACTCATCGCAACGCTGGCGGAAACCAGCGGGGCTAGACTCCATGCCGAATCCAATGACGAACTTACCGTGCTCTCTAAGACGCGAGGCCAAGGGTGTACAATCTGAATCGCTGGAGGCGAGCGCAAACATATCAATGTTGGTTCTCGTGACCAGGCACTCCATCGCATCAATGACCATCGCAATGTCCGATGCGTTCTTGCCAGCGGCCACTTCTGAACGGCTCACCATATCGATCGCGTGCGACTTGCAGGCTTGCACCCACGCTTTCAAAGAGCCTCTCTGGAAGTCGCCGTACGCTTTCCGGATCAGGAGGCGGCCACGCTGGAGCAGATCCATCCGAACTGCATCCACACAGGCAGCCGAGATATTCTCGGCGTCAAAAAAGACAGCGATCTGACGTTCGGCGGCCATGGGCGGCAAGATCCGTAGACGGAGCTTCACAAAATGAGGAATGGAGTGTGGGTCCTGTTCCGAAACCCTGGGCCAAAACTGCTACGGATCACCAGAAGATCGATTGGGGAGTCGGGAGCCGCGGGGGTGGACACTGCGTGCCAAGAACAGCCGGTGGCCCTGCGAGAGAGCCATATGTCGAGAGCCAAGTTCAAGCCGATTCTTCCTGGTCATCCGCCTCCCTCTCCTCATCCCCGAGTCCTTCCTGAGACGAGAGGGGGAAGGGCGGCCCTGCTGCACCTCGAGAAGTGCTGTCCGGTCGGCCTGGGCAAAGTAACGCGACGACTCCGTGCACGAGGAGGGCCAGACACGATGACGCTCGTGCTGGAGAGGGGGAGGCGAGGCGAGGGGCAGCGCATTCTCCAGGCTGATGCTGCAGGCTGGGGGGCGACTCCCAGGGAGGCTCCTGGGGAGAGCTCCGAGCTCCAATGGGAGCTCTGACGGCTGGAGGGGGCTGGGGCTCCTCAGACCAACCCAGACAACTGACTCTACCAGCCATTGGAGAACCCGAGTGCCACATTCGGAATTCAAGCACAAAGCGTTGCCAAAATAATCAGGAGCAACCCACCTGCACCAGCGCGCACCCGTGGCCAGGGCAGATGGGCAGAAGATGACGCGGGGGATAGCTCAACGCGGGCCCAAGCAGCTTGAGACAATTGCAAAGCGGTCACGGATACTGAGCATGACGAGGACGGCAAGGGCGTTGACGACCTGCCCTCGTCAAGCGCATTCGCTGCTGCCGAACACGCTGCACAGCGCACGGCGCCGCGCAGGTGCCATCAGCAGGGCGAGCGGCCTCTGACCCGACGCCCCCACGACAGCGATGACGATGGCACCGACTGTGACGGCGGCGCTGCCCGCGCGCGCGCCGGTCGCCTTCCAGTTCCCCGAGCGCCGCCGCGCGCTCGGCCACCAGCTGCTCCCTCTCCTTGCCCGCCCTGGCGGGCGCGCTTCGGGGAGGGGGAGGGGGCTGGGGGAGGGGGCCTCCGTGGCTGCAGAGAGCTCCAGCGGGGGTCGAAGCAGAGAGGGCTGGCCTGGCCCGACGTGCCGAACTGAGGCAGATGTGGTCGACCGCAGAGGCGGTCAGACCCCCCCCCCTGGAGCCCCCAGTCTGACGGAGGAATCGCGGGCTCGGCCGCGCACTGACTCAGACGGTGGGCGGGGGCAGTGGGGGTGTGGGAGGCGGGTGGGTGGAAAAGGAGGAAGAGGGCGCGAGGGTGAAGGGGTGGCGGAGGGGGCGAAGCAGATGCGTCGGACATCCACTTCGGTAAAGGTGGGAGAATAAGGACGAGGAGGGAGATTTTCCACACAGGGCAACTGAACATCTCGACCTCGAGCATTGCATATCGCCACAGCGGAACTTGGCCACAGCGTGAGAGAAGGACAAAGAGGAGGGAGGGGTAAAAGGGACAACCGGTCGGTCGGGCGAGCGGAAGACATCGACGAGGCACTGCTCTTGAATGAGGGGGCAACTGGGGACACGAGCTGGCGATTGAAAAGGAAAAGCCACAGTCGGGAACTTTTGCATGGCGTGCCGCGACGGCGGCCCTGGCGACACGCAATGCCTTGCAAGCGAACAACGTGCCGTTCCGCTCCGCGGGGCGGGAGACTGTGAACAGCTGGGAACGTTGACGCTTGGCACTGGGGACGTGGATGGTGTGTGGGGCCGAAGCGTGGTGGGCCAGAACCGCCGAAGAGACACGCTAAGTCAAAATTCCTTCCCGTATTACTGACGAGACACAGCCACACGAACGTGAGCCACGAACGTGAGCCCATTCGTCAAGGGACCACGGCACCATGAAGGTACCCCAAAAAAACAAGCAACGCTCCAAGGCGGAAAGCTCAAACAAAAAGAACTTAAGGGTACCCCTCCCAGACTACGTTGGGACTTAACCCCCGGATGAGTTTTATGACAATGTCGGACTGGTGGCATCACGTGTTCAAGATCACCCTCGGGAAATCGCATTCGAATTGCTGGTTGCTTATCGGGCGCACGCTGGCACTCAGGGCTGCTGCTGACGAGTTGTGTCGTTCACGGTTGCGATGTAGGAGGACTCGATGGCAGTTGTTCAAGGCTCTTTCATGCCGAAGCGAAAAGTGTAGTACCAGAGCAAAAGGAACGCCCACATACCCCACTCGCTGATATGCTCGACAAGTTCTCTCCAAACACTTGCATGCACAACGCCATCTAGCACTGCAGACACCAGAAAGATAACTGGCAAGCAAGCGCGGGCGGCAAACAGTACTCGCGCTGCGCTCGTAGGTTGATCCTACTGAACGAGGGCGATGCTGCAATCAACCTAAACAGCGGCAGATCCACCGAATCCAAATACTGCAGCCACGACAGGGAGTAGGTCAAGAGCCTCGGGACCCCAAGCTCCCACCAAGATTGACCCCAAGCCCTAGAGCATCTGGCCACACGCCCCAGTAGTGGGAAGTTCCCTTCCGATTCTGCGGGCAACGACGTCGTGGACAGGAAAGGCGGCCAGAAAGACTCCGCGGCCCATGATGCTGAAATCAAAACAGAACCGAATTCGCTCTGGCAGATGCACGCCTAAGTCCGAGATGTCACAGAAAACCCCCACATGGTGATAGCGCCGTGCAATGCCATAGCGGATGGCCAGGCCAATGCAACCGAAACCGATGAACACGTTGAAGAGATGAGACATGGAATAGAGAGCGTAGATATGATAATGGGGTGCTCGTGAAATTGAAAGGGCGTGGGCGTCTTCAGCCAGAAAGTGAATTGCTCGGTGTTGGGCCATCGACGAGAGTGAAGCCACGCCGTGAGCCATCACCATGCCAGCAACAAAAGCAGACAACGCCGGATTTGCCAAAGCGGGTGACACGACACAACCTTGCACCACCTCCGCGTGGATCAAATGCCGCTGCGCCAAGGCGCGTCTGAGGAGAGGGGTGGCGCTGCCCTGGCCATGTTCGGCTTAACGTGATCCATGGCAATCTGGAAAACATGTACATCAACATTGGACCCACTTGAACACGGAGGGAACAGTAGGAGCATGAGGAGGGGAGAAGGAACCAGTTTAGGTATGAGTTCGAAGTTGAGGCTGCGTTTGAGCGCGAACTTTGAATTGAGGGTGGGTTCGCTGAGGATGAGACTGGGATGTGGAAGTGGAGGCCGACGTCACGGTAGATGTGGAGCTAGCGCGATTCCCAAATAATTCAGGACGAATGTCCGAGAGAGAGCGTGATTCCTGAGTGTTGGGGGCGCGACGTCTCAACAAATTGCGAGGAGTACCAGGCGGGAGCGCGATTTCTGCATACATTGCGAAGAAGTCCCGCGCGAGAACGCGATTGTGTAAATAAAAAGAAATACCATGTGGGAGCCGTTGTTGTTGTAAACCGGGGGCCAGCGACACACTCTGACCATCGAGATTTTCCTAGAAAGAAACAAGGTGCGAGCCCTGGGAGGGGCACTTCAATTGAGAAACACATATGAGCACCCGAGGGGGATCAACAGTAGGTGTTCTTCAGAAATAAGAATGCAACATCATCAACACCAAAATCATCGTCACCGCGTGATCAACACCATTTCCATCATCCTGCCTTCTGTCCTCATCCTCCTTGCGGAGGCCGCAGCCTGATGCTCTCCTCGAGGGCCTTCTCGCGCTCGAGGCGGAGCTTCTCCTTCTCGGCGATCTCCTGGCTCGGCGCCGGGTGCGCATGGGCCCCTGCCTCCCTCGACCTCCTACCCATCATCACCCGTTGCCACTTCTTTGTGCCAGCGCTGTGCTGGAACGGCGGAGGAGGAGGCGAGGGGCACACAACGTACGTGCATTGACTGCCCATCACAACACAAACGAAATCAAACCGTGCCCACCCTCACTGGAAGACTTCCACCACCGACCGACATCCGCCCCCCCCCACCCCGCAATTGGGGACGGGTGCCATCTCCCGAAGGATTCGCTGCACACATCACCACCTGGAAGGGGCACGCTGAAAAAGCCGGCTTACCCTGTTCCGGTGAGGGTGGGGGTTCTGATGATGATGAGCCCTCATCTTCTTCATCATCATCAACATCATCATCATCATCATCATCATCATCATCATCATCATCATCATCATCATCATCACCATCATCATCACCATCATCATCATCACGACCACCACAACCACCATCATCCGCAGCAGCAGACCATCATCATCATCATCATCATGATCATCATCATCCTCATCGTTATCAGCAGCATCAAGATCGTCATCATCACCAGCAGCAGCAGCATCATCATCATCGGAATCGTCATCAGCATCATCATCACCTCCACCATCGTCATCATCATCAGCAACATTATCATCGTCGTCATCATCGTCATCGTAATCGTCATCGCCATCGTCATCATCATCATCATCATCATCATCATCATCATCACCCTCACCCTCACCCTCATCACCATCACCATCACCCTCACCCTCACCCTCACCCTCACCCTCACCCTCGCTCTCATCCTCATCCTCATCCTCATCCTCATCCTCATCATCATCATCATCATCATCATCATCATCATCATCATCATCATCATGATCAACATCATAATCATCATCATCATCATCATCATCATCATCATCACAACAACAACACCATCAGCATCCTCATCACTCCTCTCCTCATCGTCACCAGCATCATAATCATGATCCTTCGTCCTTGCCCGCTCCCAGCGACACCCTCTCGGAGCGACGAACGCCCAACAGCAATGCCTGCAGAAGCTTGTGCATCCTAGGGGTAGAAGAAACATGCACGATGCCTAAAGACAAACTGTCGAAGGTCCACGTGGATCTCCTAGGTCGGAGCTGGACCCCCCCCTGACGCGAGGAGCCCCAAAGCGGCATTCCGTCTGACCAGGCCGACCGTGCAGTGCGCTGCCGTCTGTCTGCTTCCCAACGCAGCGAGCGGGCCCCCCAGCTCATTTTCATCGGGGGCGTCCAAGAGGAGGGCGTCCAAGAGGGGGGTGTGCAAGAGGGGGGTGCGCAAATCATGGCCCGAGGCATGTGCGCGGACCAGGGGGGCCGGCGAACGCATTGAGATAAAAAAGGGACCATAGTATCTGGGAAGGTATCATGGCCCTGGCCACGATATCCACCCTCCCCTAGTCTTCACACCCCTCTTGGCCGCCCCCGATCTCCTCGGCTGCACGCAAGAGAAGGCCCCGGGGCAAGAGCGACCCTTGGTGCGCAGCCCGCCGATCTCTGCGCGCGACGCGGTGCGATGCGTGGCGGCCCCCGCGTGCCCGGGCGTGCCCCCCGGCGCCCGCCGAAGGCCGCGCACAGAAGGCCACTCAGGGCGAAGGGTCGACCCCCCCCGGGCAGCCGACCTGCGCGGGCGGAGAGCGCCCGCGCCATCCGATGGCCCCACCATCCTCCTCCTCCTCCTCCTCCTCCTCCTCCTCCTCCTCCTCCTCCTCCTCCTCCTCCTCCTCCTCCTCCTCCTCCTCCTCCTCCTCCTCCTCCTCCTCCTCCTCCTCCTCCTCCTCCTCCTCCTCCTCCTCCTCCTCTTAGCCGTTCTGGCTCATATTGATTCTGAGCTTGGCCGTGCGAACTTCAGAACGGCGCTGCACGACCGAGCCTTTCTTGGCTTTGTCCCTCAGCCTACCGTTTGCAGGTGGCGCCTGCACTGTTCAGCCTACCGTACGCAGGTGGCGCCTGCACTGTTCTCCCTTGGATCACGACGAAGTAATGGTGCCCTGGTCCAGCAGGCCAGCACCCCACCGAGTCTTCAAGTGGAAGTGCCCCTGCGGCTGCGCCAAAAATCATTCGAGCTGGTGGTACTGCAAGCACTGCAAGGAGCAGTGGAACCCTAAGACATGTATCGAAGTTTCTCTTGCTGCTCGCCGTGCTGACGACGATGATGACGCCCTGCAGTCGTGGGGCAAGGAGGCCCTTGCCCCACCTGGCCAGCAGCCTGGCCCCCCGCTTCCACATGGCCCAGTCGGCACTGGACGAGGTCCGCGGCCAGGAGTCATCAACACGGACGGGATCAGCATCGAGGACCTCATCTCCCTGGCGGCGATTGCGACGCGCCAGGGACAGGGTGCTCTCGCCAAGCAGTACGACGCGGCTCGTGAGAAGCTGGTGCAGCAGGCCAAAGCGAAGGTGTTGCCCCCCGTCTCTCTGCATGCTCGGGCCTCGCAGGCTCAGTCCAAGATCAAGAGCGTGGAGAAGCGCCTCGAGAAAGAGCTTTTGAAGTTGGAGCGATGGCGTGCAGGCGTCCTCGCCCTGGAGAACACGATCCATGAGATGTCTGACGAGATGGACGCGCTGGATAAGAACTACTCGGAGTTGGTGTCGCAGATCAGCATGGAGGTCAAGCAGCCCGCCCCGAAGAAGGATTCAGCTCCGAAAGGCCCGTCCATCAGCCTCCGCGCCCTGGTGGAAGCTGAGGAAGTCAACTTCATCCTGGAGGATGACCTGCTGGAGGACCTGCCCAAAGAGTACGAGATGTCGCCGCAAGACAGGGAGCAGCTGGAGACTCGCAAGATGCTGCTCCAGAACGGGCTCAAGGACATGGCGAAGGACCTGTTCGGCGCGGCCTCCGAGCACTTCCAGGCCGCTCGTAAGGAGCACAAGGATCACCTCACTGGTATGTCCAAGAAGAAGCGTAAAAACGAAGATGGTGAAGCTGTACCTGGTGACGATACCTGCAGCTGCTGGGGGAGGGCATCCTGAAGCTGGAGCGGATGGAGATGGTCCCCCTGGTGGTGGAGTCGCCGCGCCGCCTCCTGAGGCTGCAGGCGGAGCCTCAGCCGCCGCTTCTGCTTCTGCCTCCGCGGGCTCTGCAAGTGCTGCTCCTGCGGCCAGCGTTCGGCCCTCGGGAGCAGACCCAGAGCTGCGTGCCAGGCTGGCCAGAGCCTCGCACAAGAAGGAGGCCTCCTTTCAGCCTCCCCCGCCAACCTCAGCCTGGGGAGGCGGGGGGGGAACGCCTTTCACACGGGAGGGGCCCCCCCCCGCGGACTCTCACGCTGACCTCGCAGCTCAAGCTACCTCGTCTGCTACCTCCCTCAGGGAGGCTAGGTTTTGTCAGTCGGGGCAGAGCTCGAGGCCAGGTTTTGGAAGAATCAACTTTTTTCAGTATCTCTCGGGCCCAGGAGTTCCAGGCCCAGGTCCCAGGCCAGAAGACGATAAGATCGAGCTAGTTATCACCACTGCTAACTGCGACAGCTGGGATACGCTGCGAGACTGGTTGCCTTCGGCTAGACCCCCACACAATATTTTAGTACAGGAGCAGCACCTCGTGGATAATGAATCCATTGGCCGCGCATCGAAGTTTTGTTTTGATCATGGTTGGAAGAGTCTCTGGCAGCCTGCTTTACGTGCGCTTGAGGGGGGCTCGTCTGGTGGGTGGCCATCCTGGCCAAGAACTTCCTGGGACTCCAGTAGCCGCATCAATTATATTCGGGACGTGCTCTGGGAGCGATTGCTCATCTTCCTGGAGGTGCTCAGATTCCCCTGGTTTCGGTGTACTGTTTCGACACAGAAGGCGTGACAGACAGGCAGCTCGACTTATCGAAGTAAGTCGGCACTTTCTTGTCTCTGGAAGGAACGGCTTATGTTGAAAAAGTAGACTTCAACATGGGCCAGCGGTTGTCTCCGACACGGGTCTGCTCGAGAAATGCCACGGCGAGATGGTGAACACTGGTGACCCCACTTGTTTCGGAATGAAGAAGTCGGATTATGACTACATTATTGTTTGAGGTGGCCACGCCAGTGGAGTTAAGTTCGTTAAGAGATGCGACGACAGCGGGTGCTCGCCGCACTTCGCTGTCGCCCTCTGCTTTCATCCTGCCCTCTGCGTTTGCAAGCTCTGGATTTCAGGAAACCGCCACCTCCCCCTGCCGAAGCCCCCCCAGGGGCGGGCCCTCCTCCTGGTGATTTCCGTCGGGCGAAGGCCTTTTCTGGAGTTGGGTGAGAAGGCTCTCAAATCCCAGGATGTCAACGAGGTCTCCAGGCTCATCTGCAAGGCTCATCAGTCGCGGGCGAACCTCTCGGAGTACGAGCTTGCTTTGAGGATGGGGGAGGATCTGGCTTATCGCGGGGCTCATGGGAAGGACCCTCAGATCGCTTGGAAGCCGAACCTTCAGAAATGGTTCAAGCATTGCAGGTGCCCAGAGCTGCGAGCGATGAGGTGGCTTTGTGCACGTTGCAAGGCCATCGTGCAGCTGATGCCCTCGATCGTTGCTGGTGCTGCCTCACCCGAATCTCGCCGCGTGGTAAGTGAGCTGATAGATGCAATCAACCAGTCGGAGTGGGCCCCTCAGGAGCTGGGCCACTTTGAAAACAAGCAACACCTTCAAGGTATCAGGGACCTGCTCAAGGACTGGGGAGTTTCAATCTCCTATCCCCACGTTGAGCTCGACACTACTCCGAATATGTTGTTTGTCAGGACCCCCTGCCTCTGTCGAGGTCGGGAAGTGCGTGCACGTGGCAGGCGATCCTTCCCGCGGAGGGCTCGAAGGCTTCGCGGCCATGTCAACCCCCTGGCTTGACAGGCTCGAGGCCCTCCTGGCTCACCAGAGGGAGGTGCTCGAGACGCGCACCAAACACTACCAGGGAGTGGCCAAGAAAGACCAGCTCGCCTGGTTGACGGAAAAGCTCAGTCAGGGTGCTCGGAACGCTCACTGCGCCATCAAAAACCGCATGGTTTGGAAGCCCTGCACCACGCTGTCCGCCGAAGGGCAGCTCGTCTCTGACCCCCAGCAGCTGCTCGACGCTGAAGTCAAAACGTATTCGGGCCTTTGGCAGGTTCGACCGACCCCCCCCCCTAGGCGAAGGCGCAAAAGTTCTGAGCCCCCCCCCGTGGATATCGAGCATCTCAGAAAATTGAGCGGCGAGTACCCTTCGAGGAGCGCGGCCCCCTTCGATGGATTCCACATGAAGCACATCCAGCATTTGAGCGACGGCAGTCTGGAGGTGCTATGTGCGAGTCTTTCTCTGTCGGAACGGTCGGGCATCCTTCCTACTCAGTTGTCTGATGTCCCGGTGGCCCTCCTGGCCATGGAAAAAGAAGGTTTCCGTCCCATCGGCGTCTTTCCCTCGGTGTTCCGCCTCTGGGGGCGGGCTCGCAGGCCTCTGGCGGAGGCCTGGGAGACCAGGTTTTCTCGGGGCTACTGGGCGGCTGGAAAACAAAGGGGCGCCCTAGACTGCGTCAGGCGCCAGGCTTTCCGGCCCAAGCAGGAAAAGCTCTCGCGCGGCCACAGTTCTTCGGGATATGTAGAAATATTACGAGCTGATCGATCTCGAAGCCCTCGACATTCGCGGTCGCAAACACCAGTTCCCCCTGGGCACCCTCCACATGTGCCTTGCCGCCGATCGCTCATCGAGATACGCGTGCCTCTCGGGGATCGCGGTCGGCCCTCTGTACGCCACTCGTGACATCATTGGTGGATGCGGTATGGCCACTACTCCCATTCGGGCGCATGCGCTTGACGCCTTCGACACTGCCCCCCAGTCGTTGAACCTGCACACCATCGATCGAGAAGCAAAGGAGTTCACTTCGTTCAATGCCTATATCGCTGACACAAGTATTTCTGCCATCGGTTCGAGGTCGTGTGTGCGTGAATCTATCCTGAGCATGGCCGCTTTGCTTCTCGCGGGCATCAGGCAGATGCTTGGAGGTCTTGTTGCGTTGGACAAAGTGGCCCTCGCCTGCTCGCGCAAGTCTCTCGGCACGCAGCTGGAGGCTGACCTGGGCCAGTTCGGAGCGCTGGAGGCCCCCGCTGTTAACCTCGGCTGCGACGGCACTGCTGGCAAGGCTTTCAAGACGGGGAAAGGGGGAATACGCAAGAGGACGGAGAGGAAGAGGAAGACGCTCAGGGAGGTCATGAGGTTGATGAAGATGCGTTCTCACTTTGGCAGGATAGCTGTGACAGTTTTTGTCTCGGGTCCGATGCCTTGCTATATCTTTGGCTGCGAGGTCCAAGGCCTCACCGACGGTGAAGTGCACAGCCTTAAGCGCATGGCTGACAGCGTGATCAAGCCCGATGCTGCGAGACGTTCTCTCACTGTTCTTTCGCTCCTGGAAGGGGGCCCTGTCTGACACGGCTCGGTTGCTCCCATCCTTCGATACGTCACAGAAATCTGGCCCCTTCGGACGCTTGAGTTCCAGGGGGCCATCGACTGGGCCACGATTCGAGCTCCCCGGGAGGGTGTCTTCGCTAGCCGTCAGAAGTCGTTTACCTGGAGGAAGGTTTCGGGGCCCCTGAGTGCCATGTTCATGAGTCTGAAGAGGATCGGATGGGGCATGCTGTCTTGTTTGATGGCATGGGCCACGAAATGTCTTGCACCCTGCAGTCGCCTGCTATGTTCAAGGTACTGCTCGGGCAGGCTGTTCGTCGCCAACTGGAGAGGTCTGCGTACCACAAGCTGGTCGAAGCTGGCCTGTTCTGTGGTCTTGCTGATCCAGAGGCTGACGCGGACTTAGCTTGCCCCAGCGAGCAGTTGGCCCCCGATCGCACTCCCCCCGAGCTGTCGGGATCCAACCGTATTTGTTTTGATCTCGGCACGGCTGGGCTCCGCGCGAAAACATTTACGGCTTGGGAAAAGGGTTCCCTGAGAGTCCTTGTCTGCAATGCTATTTGGACCAACTCGCGTGCGCCGAGGTGCGGCTACCAGGTCAGCCTCCTTTTGTGCTCTTTGCAGAACTAAGGTGGACAGCATTTTTCACCGTACCTGGGAGTGCGAGGCCTGTCAGGACGAGCGAGCTGAGTTGGTTGAGACTGATATGATTATGTGGGCCAAGGAGGCCCTTAATGATAACTTCCCCCGCCAGGAAAATGTCCTCATCGGTGCCTTCGCTCACCCTGGTGACCTTGTTCCGCCCCCTCTCAAGCAAGATGGAACACTCCCAACAAGGCTTCCTGGATTCTGGTCTTGGAGTATCCTGGGCCCGAGTCTGTAAAATACCGAGGACATATGTTTTTAGATGGCAGGTGTTTTTACTCCCAAATCCGGGAGCTCTCCAGGGCTGATTGGGCGTTCGTGATGTTATCTGACCAAGGCCACAGGCTGGCCCGTGTCTACGGGCCCGTGTGGGCCCACTTGCCACAAACCCCACGAGCGGGCGAATTCTCGAGTCTGGCTGCTGTGGGTGTCAACCTTGACGGGCAGCCTGTGCTGTACTCCGATTGCGCCTCTGTTGTTTCCGTGGGTTCCCGGGCTCCTCGGGACCGCCTCGGGGGGGCAGAGGGCCTGCGCTGGCTCGATACTCGAAGCCACCTCGGGCGCTGGGCCGCGTTTAGAAGGCCTGGTCAGAGTCTCGGCTCACAAAGATCTGGACGAAGATGGCATCTCTGCGCTGGAGCGATGGCGCAGAGCTGCAAACCAGCTGGCAGACACAGCGGCCAAGAGAGGAGCGTGTCTTCACCCAGGCGGAGCCTGAAGTCTTGCAACGCATCGATCGCGCTGTCAAGATAGCCAGATCTGTTACTGCAATTGCTGCGAAGCTGCTGCCGAAGTGGCCTCGTCGCGATGTTTCGCAAGCTGAATTCATTAGGCCTCCGAGAGACGAGAGATCCCCGGAGTTCGAGGCCCATGAGGGGGCCTGGACGGGAGAGTTTTGGCAGTGCACGACTTGCCTGCGAGGATGGCGAGGTGCTGGTTGCCCTCCACCTGGCCGATATGTTGCCCCGCCGAAGCTCAGCCCTAGTCTTATCGAGCAGAACGGCCACCAATGTGCGATCGTGGACTGCTCGGATGGCTTTCCTCTGTATATGTCGGCGATGCGGTGTTTACATCACAGGAGGAGGAGGAGGAGGAGGAGAAGGAGTTGGAGGAGGAGGAGGAGGAGGAGGAGGAAGAGGAGGAGGAGGCGGAGGAGGAGGAGGAGGAGGAGGAGGAGGGGGAGGAGGGGGAGGGGGGAGGGGGAGGGGGAGGGGGAGGAGGAGGAGGAGGAGAAGGAGGAGGAGGGGAGGAGGAGGAGGAGGGAGGGGAGGAGGAGGAGGTGGGGGCGGAGGATGAGGAGGAGGAGAAGGAGGAGGAGAGGGGGCAGAGAAGACGATAGGGGAGGGGGAGGAGGAGGATTTGTTTCACGCTCCACTGCCGCTTGACCCCCTCTTCAGGGGACCTTCTGCTCCATCCCCCAACTGTACAGTCCAGGGAGACGGGAGGAATCTGACATTATTCTCCCTCTGAATCTGCTGTGGGTGCCTGCCTTGCGAAACATATTTCCAAGCAGTGTGGCCAGCCACCGTCTTCGACGGGGCACAGGGAGCACCCAACTTCA